CAGAGCACACTGACCATTTATAAAGGGTGAATTGGATGCCCTTTGCTTCTGTCATTATAGAAAGTACTTATGAACCATTGTATCCAACCACCGGAGTGGCTTGGTAGTTGCATGCATTTGCCACTGCCTAGAAAGGCAAAAGGGGATTGCAGCATCCCTATATAGGCAAGATAGACTAGTACACCACTTCCCAGGATAGCTTGGATAATGATAATAAAGGTTACCCAAGAAAGATTCTGAGAATCCAGATAACTCTGTGTATCCTCTCCTTATTCTCTAGAGACATGTAAATTGAGGTTTCAAACTATGTAACCTCTCTGGGTTCAATATCTGTAAAATGTGAATAATGCTGGACCTAATCCACATGGTGATTACAATGATTAGGTTGTCATGGGTGCTCTTGGTAAGTGCTAGGTAAACAAAGACATTCCTGCTTTATGCTGTCACTGTACCACCATCTGGCCTCTTGATGGTGAGGCAGCTCCCTCACCCTGGGCCTTCCTCATTGGGCCTTTGGTCACATAGTCCTGGTGAGCCTGGATTATTAGCATTATTTCATAGCTCACTCTCCTTGACTCTTTTACCCAAACCAGACAGAAATTAATGGCCCACCCTCAGAGGATCAGGAAGGCACATGTTTCTGCTGTCCTGGCTCATTGGTCATGCTTCTCCAAATTCAGGGAATGGTTGGGTGACCCAGGGAGGAGTTTCCTAAGCCCCAGGTAACCGTGAAGGAAAGTAATTTAGCTTAAACCCACCTTCTAATTAAGGAGCTTTAGAAGTAGTACATATTACTATTTCTTCAGGATTTTGCCATTTATAAATAGAAGCAAGTTTCTCTTGGATAGAATGTTTGATTTTAATGGGAGAAATGTAGTGATCAAGGATGACTGGGGAAAAAAACAAAACACAACTTTCCAAAATAGAGTCTTTTCCTCTGCTTTTCTCTTATCCCACTTCCCAAGGCTCATGAATGCCAGTCAGCATGGATTGGCTGGTCCTAGCCATGACAGAGCTGTCCACTTCACTCCCAGGTCTCAAGGCCCCACAGGGTTGTTTGCTATCCTCACCCTGGCTTCATCTTCTGCCCTTCTCTGCTCTGTACTGATTGTCAACCACTGTCCCTTGGAAAAGCCATGTTTTTTCCCGTTCTCAAGGATCTGAATTTTTTTTTTTTATTGTCGAGGATTCATTTAGTATATAGAGAACCAGGTTACTTTGATTACATTTGTTAGGTAAAGTCTCTCTTATAATTGTGTCCCGCCTCCAAGAGGTGTGTCACACACAGTGACCCCCCCACCTTCCCTCTGTTCCCTCTCTTTGCTCCCCCTTCTCCCCTCCCTACCATGTACTAGGTCATCAATTGTCCTCATACCAGAATTGAGTACATTGGATTCTTGCTTCTCCATTCTTGTGATTCTTCACTAAGAAGAATGTGTTTCAACTCCATCCAGGTTAATACAAAAGATATAAAGTCTACATCTTTTTCAATGGCTGAATAGTATTCCATGGTATACATGGTATATATATACCACAGCTCGTTAATCCATTCTTGGATTGGGGGGTATTTAGGTTGTTTCCACCATTTGGCAATTGTAAATTGAGCTGCAGTAAACAATCTAGTGCAAATGTCCTTATGATAAAATGATTTCTTTTCTTCTGGGTAGATGCCTAATAATGGGATTGCAGGATCAAATAAGAGGTCTAGTTTGAGTTCTTTGAGAATTCTTCATACTTCCTTCCAAAAAGACTGTATTAGTTTGCAGTCCCACCAGCAGTGTAAAAGTGTTCCCTTGTCTCCACATCCATGCCAGCATCTGCAGCTTTAAGATTTTTGTGATGTGGGCCATTCTCACTGGGGTTATCTCAGGGTGGTTTTGATTTTCATTTTCCTGATAATTAGGGAGGGACAATGAACATTTTTTCATATGTTTGTAACCATTAGTCTATTTTCTTGAGAGAAGGTTCTATTCATCTCTCTTGCCCATTGATATAAGGGATTGTTGGCTTTTTTTATGTTAAGTTGAGTTCTTTGTAGATCCTAGTTATCAAGTTTTTGTCCAATTCATAATATGCAAATATCTTTTCTCATTGTGATGGTTGTCTGTTTGCTTTGGTTTTTGTCTCCTTAGCTGTATAGAAGCTATTCAATTTAATTAAGTCCATTTTGTTTGTTTTTGTTGTTGTTGTAATTGCCACTGAAGTCTTCTTTATAAAGCCTTCCCCCAGGCTGATGATTTCAAGTGTTTTTTTGGCACTGGTCCCCAGAAACCAAGAAGTTCCTCTCTTATGATTGAGGTCTCCTGCAAATGTCACCTCTTCAAAGAAGCTTGTTCCTGCTTCAGCTCCCAGTACCCACCCATACCTTTTAAAATTTTCTCTATTGGACTTACTAATATTTGAAGTAATCTTATTTATCCATCTGCTTATTCTGTTTTCTTCACCAATGAGAAAGATCTAGGAGAGCAGCCATCATAGTTGCCTAGTTCATCTATATCCTCAGCACCTAGAACTTGCCTTATTATTGTAGACACTCAATAACTGTGTTAAATGTGTGAATGAGTAAACAGATTAACGAAAGTTACACATAGCTTTGGAAATTACCTATTCATCAGGTCTTCAGACTTTTCAAATCCAATATCCCCTTGTTTGACAGCCACTTAACTAGAGCTAATAAAAGCAAAGGGAAGGGACATTTGGTCACCTGGGGTCTTAGCTTCTCTCCCAACCCCTTTGGCAGTTCTTGTTTGTATAGATGCTATGATACTCAATTTGAAAACCACGATCTAGTCCAGGTTCTTCATTTATACATGTATAGATGATGGAGATGCTGCTGAGGGAGAATAGGCAATTGTGCTCCCTCTGTCACAGGCAGAAATCAGCACAACCTCCATGGCAGCCTGCCCCTAGACTTGGTGATGACTTTTGTCTTCCTCTCAAATTCTGTGCATGTTAAACATTTCTTTTCCTGGTGGTGTAGCTCAAAGCACTTGCTTTTGTGTTGTGCTGTCTCAGAATATTTCTTTCTTATAATCTTATTTGATGCTCACAGCAGCCCTGGGAGAAGAGAGGGAATAGCTATCTTCACTCTGATTTTGTGGATGAAGATATTTTAGTTCAGCAAGATGAAGTTACTAACAGTGAAACCTAGGCCAGAATCAAAATCCTTTGACTACTAATAACTAGAACTTTTAAGTGTTTGCTCTGGTGTCTTTTTATTCATCAGACAATCCTCTTTATAGGCAGAAACCTACTCCCTTTTTCCTCACCTTCCTGACATTCAGTAAGTGGCTGTGCAGCTTTAATCTTCGTTAGACATTTCATAGTACAATGGGAGCCTCCTAGCACTCTGGGAGGCCAAGGTGGGTGGATCGCCTGAGCTCATGAATTTGAGACCAGCCGGAGCCAGAGTGAGACCCCATTTCTAAAAATAGCCAGACTTTGTGGAGGGCTCCCAGCTACTTAGGAGGTTGAAACAAGAGAATCATTTGATCCTAACAATTTGAGGTTACCGTGAGCTGTGATGCCAGGATACTCTACAGAGGGCGACAAAGTGAGACTGTGTCTCAAAAAAAAAAAAAGAAAAAAATACAGTGTGGTGATTATTATATTTAGAGTTTAATAATTCAAAGATTGAGCAATTCCTTCACTGGACAGATGAAGCAGTAGGGACCCAGAGAGGGTAAGAGACTTACCAAGGACACATAGATAAAGGCCAAGTGATACCCGTTGCCCAGCTCTTGACCAGCTGTTCTCAGTCATATTTCTTCACAGATGAAAACTCCTTTTTTGGGTTTCTTGGCTTTCTTTTCAGAGGTGCTTGGTTTAGTTTGTTTAGAGGCTAAATACGTGGGAGTAGCCATTAGAATCACTAACGAGAATATATGATGATCAGCTTCTTGCTTTAATACACCTACAGAAACTTAACCGCCGAAGGGTTTTTCTTTTCTAAGGCAGAGGTTTCTTATTCTTTAATAATGACAACATATCAGGGAGGGGCAAAAAATGGCTCACAGACCAAAGCCAGCCTATGGCCTGCTGTTGCAAAGCCAGTGAGTCAAGCATAGTATTTACAGATGAACATTTGCAATTGATTTGATGATAGGGAATATTAACATTGAATCCCATATAAGCTAAATGTGGTAGACTTGTATTTTTAAAAATTATACACAATTATTTTATTTTGAATTTTGTAAAAAGATTAGTAGCAATTTGTTTTTCCTCTTGTTATATAAGTGCTTATATAATGTCTTTGATTTTTGTCTTGTAGACCACAAAGTGAAAAGCCCATTTACTGTCTGACCCTTTATAGAAAAAGCTTGTTAACCCTTGCAGTATGACATTGACTATTTTATACTGGGGAAATTTTTTTTTTTCTGTACTGGAGAACTTTACCTTTTTATAATTTATATAAGTCATATCATGGTTTTTTTTTTTAAATCGTAAGTCTAAAATATCTCCCTATAACATTAAAAAAGTAAAAAATATCCCCATTCCCCAGTCTTAGTAGTCAATAGTTTGTAATGTATCTTTATCTTGACTTTGCCACTAACTACTTGTGAGGCATTAACCTCTTTAATCTCAAAGAAAAATGATAATAGCTCTTTTCCTACAGAATTGTTGTGCAAATTATTTGAGATAACTCGTGTATCACTTAGCACATCGCCTAGTGCACAGTTCATGCCTGATGATTTGTAACTAAATTTTAAAATTTTCTTCTTTTTGTTTATATACACATGAAAGTTTATTTGCTTTTTTAAAAAGATGGAATTTTTTTGATGCACTAAAGTTTCACAGATGATTCTGGTACATGCATACTTAAGAACAGCTAAAGTAAATGTCGAGAAGTAACTACTGAAGGGGTACGTGTGTGGGGGCCAGAAATTACCTTCCATCTTGTGGCACAAACTAGGAAAAAAGGGGAAGGTACTGGTTTTCTACAGCAAATGTGTAGCATGCTATAAACTGCACACAAATAAATTTTTATTTTTATTTTCCAGGTCTACAACTCGAACAAAGACAGTCAGACCGAAGGGAGTAAGTATGATGCTTGGGTCGTTTTCTACAGCTAGGGTTGGGTGTGGGCTTTAAAGTTGCTACTCCAGGGATGAACCACCAGGAGGTGCTGTGGGCATGTTGGGTCGGCCCCATTTTCTGAGGGCAGTGTGAGATGCTTCTACCCAAGGCTTTCTGCAGGGACTCCAGAGGGGAGTTAAGGCTCATAAGGCTGTACTGACAGCTTGCATTTAAGTAACCCTTCACACTTTACAAAGTGTTCTCGTGTCCATCATCTCACTTAATCCTGTCTTCTTAAGACTATATCTCCAATCACCATGTATATGTCACTTAATACAATAATGCCTAACTTCCGAAGAGCTTTATCCCCTGAGAAAGCTGGAGCTGCCCCTGCCTCTTGCAGTCTTCCTTAAAGGACTGGAGAGACACTATGTTAGGCATATGTCATAACATATGTTATGTTTCTTAGTAGCTCTTTTCTTTCTGGCCTCTATGGGAGGAAAGAATAGAGATGGGGAATTTTATAACGGTATTATGCTTTGATGAAAGCCTCTGTTGGATATACAGTACTTTTCCCCTGCTGCTGGCTCTGAGTAGTCTGGTTAGTCATAATTTCCAAGGGCACCAGTATCCTTATAAAGACGATGGGATTAAAATGAAACTGTTACTGGTACCGTTTGGGCTGATGCATAAGAGAAAAGATAAATTCCTTCCATGTGGCTTTAAGAGTGCAAAGGAAATCCCTTTCCTCAGATTTGCTTTGTAAAATCCATTTGGAAAAATAATTCAAAAGTAGCCCTATCAAATTCAGTAGCATTAGGAAAATCAGTAGACCAGTGCCTTTCCGTGTGGACAGAAGGGTAGCTATTTTTTTGTGTGTGAAAGTCTTTTTAGGATAGAGGTTTTTCCTCTTTTCCTTCTCCTTGAAATACAAATTTAGCCAGGCATTTTATATAAAGTGTTAAGCAATTTAGAATGGCTACTATTAGTAGGTTGAGAGGCTTTTATGAGAGGGGGATATGGTTTCTTCTGTCAAAAATTGAATAAGGGCAACTTTTTTAATATTCTAAGTGGGCATGCCATCTGGTTCTACCACATCTATAAGGCATTTGGGTAATATGTTTTAGAAGCCTTACAACGGTAACTATTCTTTGACCCAACAGTTAACCTAAAGAAATAATTGTAACAGCCTAAGTATACAGCAAGGGGGGAGGGAGAAGGGAGGGGGAAATGGGTGGAGGAAGGGTGATTGGAGGGATCACTTCTATAGTTTATCTTACAAGGGTACAAGTGAATCTTTCCAAGAGTATAATATGATTGTCTTAACACAGTAACTAAGAAAATGACATGAAGGCTATGTTAACCAGTTTGATGAAGATATTTCAAATTGTATATGAAAACACTACACTGTACCCAGAATTACATTAATGTACATAGTTATCATTTAATAAAAAAAAAAAGAAATAATTGGAGTGCAAAGATGTTTGTGCAACAAAGAAATTCTTTGGAACATTGGTGATAGTGATAATGGCAAAAATTGGTGATAATCTAAATATCTAAAAGGAAGCTGGTTAAATAAATTATGGAATAGTATACTACCTTCAAAAGAACAGGGAGATCTAAATATATTTGTGGAAATAGTGCCCACAGTATATTGCTAATTGAATTTTTAAAAATAATATACAATATAATATATATTAGTTATTGTGTTAAGATAGTTATGTATACACACATATAACTAATATATATATAATATATATATTATATATATAAAATAAGTTATCTGATTCATCTAGATACTTGATAGAAAACAAGTATGGAGATTAGTTTATTGTAATATCATCAAAATCTTAATGAGGATAGAGGGTGGATTATTGAGAGACATTGACCTACTTTTAATGTTTTTCTGTAGTTTGAATTCACTACTATGAACATATAGAGAGGCTGCCAGAATAACATATACACATTTTAAGAGGTCTTATTGGAAGTAAAATTGAGTATTCCTAAAAAGGGTACAAATTGTAGGTAAAATGGGTGTGTGTTTAAGTAAGACATGCTAGATATACTTAACCAGTAATGGCACCTTCAATTTGACTTGAGAAAGTAACAGTAGATAACATCTCTTAAAATGTGTGTACATTTTTTTGCCCTCTCTGTATTTTCCAGTAATAGTTGTTAAAAGGTTGCCTTGGGAGTGTGATTGGTGGGACCACACCTATGGTTCATCTTACAAGAGTACATGTGAATCTTTCTAAATGTAGAATATAAATGTCTTAACACAGTAATGACATGAAGGCTGTATTAACCAGTTTGATGAAAAGATTTCAGATTGTACATAGAACCAGCACACTGTACCCCATGACTGCATTAATTACACAGCTATGGTTTAATAAAAAAAAAAAAGATAGGTAAAAGAAAAAAAATAAAAGGTTGCATTAAGTGACTGCTTACTATGTGTCAAACACTAGGGATGTTCTCCATATATTAGCTCATCTGGGGCTTGCAGTACCCTGCCAGACAGGTACTTTTGACCTACTTTGTAGCTGAGGAAATTGAGTTCAGGGGATACAATTTAATCTAAGGTCTGTTTTACTCCAAAGCATTATTATTAACTGCAAAAATATTCTACCTCCCTTAAGAAATGAGCAATACGAAGAGTTCTACTTTGGGTCCCACAGAGTGGGGAGAGCTGTTTGCCACTGGTGCCTGGTGATTCCTCAACTGCTTACCCTTTCATCTGGAACGCGGGAAGGAAAAAGCTGAGTTAAAAAATACTGGCTACTTTTTCAGGAGTTTAGATAGGAATTATTTTTCTAAGGTATTATTATTCACTAATTTCCAAGTTAGAAAAGCCAGAGTAGTGGTCTGCGTTTGTGTTTCCTCACCTTTTTTGACATTTAGAGCATGTCCCACAAGTCCTTAGCTCCCCCTCCTTCGGGAGGCTGCACTGGCAGTATCTGTTGGTTGCAGTAATTTGCCACTGCACCCGGTACTCACCCACGCCCACAGGGCTCGTCTGCCACAGGTGGCACTGTTGCCCAGGGCGTCAATTGCTCTGCAGCCCTCTTTCTGTTTACCCGAGATCTAAAGTCTTTTAAAGGTAAGAAGTCAGTCCGATGTGAATTTAAGAGTTGCTCTTTTCACCAAATTTCAATGCCCCAATTCCAGAAATCTAGCATTTGCCTTTCTAGAAAGTGTTTTGGTGGGAATTTGAATACAAACATTTTATCACAGAGCCAGAATGTTTTAAAGGAGCAGATAGCCAAAGGGAATTCCTCTGGGGACTCTCTGAATTTGTTACTTTCATCCTGAAGTTTCTCCCAGGGCACACAATGCCTGTGGAGTATAAGACGGGGCCATAAATAATGTCTATCAGCTGCTGGTATTTTCCAAGTGACCCGGTTGCCAGGGAGGGGATGGCAGCAGATAAGTACATGCACATTTCTTTGCAGAACCTTTTCCTCTCTTCTTTTCTTCTCTAGTCTGAGTTTGCACCTCCGATTTCAAGGGTTGAATTCATCACTCTGCCCTGTTTGTGGCACGTTGTCATCACAGGTCCCTCGATTCCTTTCTTCATCCTTTCATTTTGTTTCGTTCACTGAAACTTATTCATTCATTCCCTTTTGATTCTTTTCTCTGCTCTTATTTCTTTCTTCCTCTATAGACCATCATTCCCATGCATACTTTCAAAATCTATTCTTGGAAAATGTGCATCTTTTGTCAGTCCATGTTCTTTAGTTATATAAGTGGCATGTGTCCTGTTCAGCTTCTCACTTGCCCCCTCAGCATTATGTTGGTAGCTGTCCCTGTTGCTCTGTGTATGTCCAGGCTGTGACTTGTGACTACACTGTACTTCACGGTGTACAACACTATGCATCTGTTTTTGTAGAGAGACAGTCCATCTCCTCTTGCCTCCAACTCCTCATCATCATCAACAGCACAGTAACAATCCTCTGTGTGCGTGTGTCCTCCTGTGTGAGAATTTCTTTGAGAGGGTTGCTGGTTCAGAGGATGTACCTGCCAGCCCTACATGCGAATTTCTCCATTCCTGCCGACTCTTGCTGTTGTTCAGCTTTCTAATTTTTCGCCAGTCTAATAGGTATAAAACGGTATATCATTGTTGTTTTAAATTGGATTTCTCTAATAGTTAAGTAGTTTGAACATCTGTTCAAATGCCTGTTAGTTTGCTGGAATTTTGTCTTCCGTTAATTGCCCATTTTTAGTTTTGGTTATCGTCTTTTTCTTATTTGTTTTGTAAAGCTCCTTCTGTGTTTCAGATGTTAATCCCTTGTTAACTTTAGATATTTTAAATACATATTCCAATCTTGTCATCTGTCTATTAATCTGTGGTGTTCTATCTTGACCATAAAGCCTTACTTTTGACATATTCAAACCAATTTTTTTGACCTTCTGGTTTATGATTTTTCAAGTTGTATTTTGGAGAAGTACTTTCTGACTCATGTCACAAAGAGATGCACCTCCATGTTATTTCATTGACTTTACGAGTGTCTCACATTTAAGTTTCTAATCCAGCTGACATGGTATGTGATAGTTAATGAAGATCCAGTTTTATTTTTATCCGTGTGAAGGGTCAGTTTTCTCACCAATATCACCAACTATCCATTCTTTCCCCCATTGATTTGTGTGCCAGCTTTCTTGTGTATTCAATTTGCATATCTGAGTTCTGTCTCTGAGCCCTTCCTTCTTTCTTTGGTCCATTTAACTGTTTTTGAGCTGATACTGCTCTGTTTTTAATATGATGACTTTGAAGCAAGTCTTAATATCTGGTTGCTTAAGTTTCCTCTCTTTACTCTCCCTTTTAAGGGTTGATTTATGGGCCTTTATTCCTCTTTATAAATTCTATAATAAGTTTAAAATTTTTCAAAAAATAAAATTTTAATTTGGGAGTACATTGAATTGTGCAGATTAATTTGGAGGGAAACTGACATCTTTGCAATAATAAATCATCTCCAAAAGCTTTGACTGTCTTCCCATTTATTCAGACCACCAGTATTCTTTAT